GGGGATTTATTCAAAACTGAAGGCACATTGAACCAGCATCATGTCGCGACACGCCATCTCATCCGGTTTGCATTCAGTTGGGCCATCATTTATGTTTTCAACAGGACAATGACCCCAAACACACCTCCAGGCTAAGGACTATTTGACCAAGATGGAGGATTGATGGAGTGCTGCGCCAGATGGACTAGCCTCCACAGTCATGCGATGTAAACCCAGTCGAGATGGTTTGGGATGAGATGGACCGCGAGGGAACGCAAAAGGGCCAACAAGTGCTCAGCATCTCTGGGAGCTCCTGTTGAAAAATCATTTCAGGTGACGACCTCATAAGGCTCATCAAAAGAAGAAAGAAAGCAGTAATCAAAGCAAAGTGTGGCTGGAAAAATCAAAAATCTAAAACATGTTTGAGTTATGTCACACTTTTGTGTTTTCTACATAATTCCATGTGCATTCATTTATAGTTTTAATCCCTTCTGTGAGAATTTACAATGTAAGTAGTGATAAAAATGAAGAAAAAACATTAAATGAGAAGGTGTGTCCAAACTTTTGACTGGTAGTGTGTTTCAAATGCATTCCTCATGAATGATATCAAGTCATCTTAAGCCACAAACAACATTCCTGTCACAAAGTAGAAGCTGCAATCAGTTTTTCTCAAAGTAATTTTCATGTATCCTTTATTTAAACAGTTAGAAAGCGTCACTGACATTAAAAATGTCTACTTTCAAAGGGATCTGACCAATATCGAATATGGAAATTGCAGCAAATATAACAATATTTAGATATTTTAAATGGCCACAAAAGTCTGAATCGGTTGTGAAGAAGGTACAAAAACAAAGAGTCATGAAGATACTGGCAGAAATTTTATTTGTTTATTTTGTAAATGACCCTTTGATAAATCCTGTTGACTACAGTCTATTTACCAATACAAGCAAAGACACTACACATAAAAAACACGCACATAGAAACATCAGAAATCACCAGTCATGGCAGATGGCTGCCCCTCTCTGAGCCTGGCTCTGTTGGGAGTTTTTCCTTCCCTGGTTTCTGGTTGTGGTAGTGTTCTCTGGTCTCTCTCTTAGTCTGTGTGTTTAAGAAAGGCTACACTTTATCTGAAAGATTATCTTCTATAATAAACACCAACGCGGCAGGACAGTGTGCACTCAACTGTCAACTACTTTGTTGACTCTGCAACGCAAATCCCACAGATATAAATAAAAGTAAGTAAAATTGAACTGAATAATCAAGCTGTGGTAGAAAACCTGTTACATTTAAACCTCTTTTCCCCACTGACAGACTTCCACCCATTCACCTACAATTTTAATCAATCTGTTTAGACCATTTCCACGACAGTAACAATCTTGAACAACAAGGAAACACACAAGTGTATGTTTACAGACACTGAGACAAAGAGAGAGGGGAAGGTAGAATTATTTATACAGTACTCGCACAGATACTAAGGAGAAGTGGACGAAGACAATGACACAGGAAAAGATACAAAACACAGAAGACAAATGACTACCAAAATAAAACAGGAAGTGAGGAACAATAACTAAACAGGGACATCCAGACACAGGACTAAACTAAACAAAGAGGAACTGATGCAAGAGGATAAGACAAGAATCGCCAAGACAACCAGACTAAATTATGACAAAAACTAAAGGCTACAAAAACACTTAAGAAAACATGAAGTTAAATAAACAAGTCTATGGGCACCAAACAAAGAACCTCAAATCTCAGAAAGCCACAGTCACACCCCGATTATGACAATGAATTTCCTCATAAACTTTATTTTGAGAAACAGAAACGTTTTTTTTAAATTGCTGAACTCTTTGCCCACACAGTCTTTCACAGAGTGATGTACCCCTCCCTGTCCTTACTTCTGAAAGGCTCTGCCTTTCTGTGATGCTCTTTTTATTCCCCAGTTACTACTAACTGAGATCTTCCATTGTTTTGTTAGCATTACATTCTGTTGGCCCCAAGCTTTTAGCAATATGTTGCAAGCATCAAATTCATAACAAGCAAAAATATTTATCAGTTTTGACCCAAGC